AACCCAAATTTAATAACACAAAACAAAATTTCATCGGATATATAACTATAAATTCTTTGGAAAGCAAAGCTTATCTCATTAAGAGTGAGTTTCTGTTGGTTTTATAATTTCGAAAATAGTTTAAATCTTGAGGAAAATGTTCTAATATCATGCATGACTAATTTTCCTTTTTATATATTTCTATTTTACTATCATGACTATTTATATAAAGATTTTCAAAGACGATTAAATTTATTTGTCGTGGATACAAACGTTGTCTTGATGGGTTGGGTGAGTTTAGCAAAGAAAGTTTGGCCGATGGGGAGAGAACTCATATTAACTCGGCACTTGAGGTCGAGCTTTTTCGTTTGGCAGCCGACTAGGTATATTCTTTCGTGAGACAATCACAAAAAGATGGTAGTCTCCGAAAAGACAAAAAATAGATTCTATAAACAGATTTTCGCAGCCAATAAATGATAATTTTATAGCTAAACTTATGTATTGGAGTCAGCAGTTTATATAGGAGCAGGTGATCTCGAGTTTGATCATGGAGGCTACATAGACAACATGTGCTCGGTGTCGTCATTCCCCAACGAACAAGTTTAGCGAGTAACCATGGAACTCATTGTGAGGCATTTGCTAATGAAAAATGAATACACACGTACACTAATCTTAATGAATAAATGAATCTAAAAAAACATTCGAGAATGGGACATTTAATAAAAGAAAGAAGAAGAAGACATTTTGTAAAGTAAATACTAGTTCTTTTTTTTGTTGTTCTTAATAAAAAAAAGTGAATCCTAGTTAAGTTTAGATATCTTTATTTTCTTTCATTGAGTTATTAGAGACAAAACTTTAGTATTGTTTAATGTTACTTGATTTACCAATTGAAAGACGCTGTTTGTCTTGTCTTCAAATTAAACTTCGGAGAAATTTGACTTAATTTGAACCAAATCTCATTCGTTTTAAAACTATATGTACATGATACGAGAGTCGAGCAAAAGAAATGGCAGATAAAGATTCTGCATCCGAAACCTCTTTTGTCAATTCATAACAATTGTGGGTCCAAATTTCTGAAACCTCTTTAAATATGATTGGCCAATATTGGTGACCAGTCCATCAATAATTCCACAAATTTTGTTCTTTTTCATATCGTTAATATATTATATACCATTTACAAATTTTATGTATATGCATTGGACAGTCTTTTTATTTTTATTTTGTCGCTGGACTCACTATACTTTGTTCTGTAATTTGCGGTGCATTGAATTTTACAGATATCCCCATAATCAAGAAGGCGCTGCATTCACACTCCTACCCCTATCTTCTTCACGTACACACGTAACACAAAGAAGAAATATCAGAGGGTAATTAAGTAAAATATACAATGAACAGTACTAACGTTACACGGTCCTACGACTTTAAATTCTTACCCACCACTCTCCTTTCTCTTTACAAACATAACCCTAAACTTTGGTCTCTCTCTCTCTCACTTCGCCGAGAGCAAAAAATGGCTCCTCCACCACAAAAGCTCTTCCTCGCCGTCATTGTCACCGCCGTCATTGTAACGGTCACCACCGGAAATGAAGATATAGTACATTCCTCATGCGTACACGCAAGCTATCCATCGCTATGCGTCCGTACACTCTCAACTTACTCAGGTCCAACCATAACAAACCGCCGCGAGCTAGCTCAAGCCGCCGTCAAAATCAGCATTTCCCACGCCCAAACAGCCGCGAAAAAACTCGCGGTGGTTCAAGACACGGTGGGAAAGAAGAAACGCGAGAAAGCCGCGCTTGTGGACTGCGTTGAGATGATTGGAGACTCCGTGGACGAACTGAGCCGCACGTTAGGCGTTTTGAAGCATCTACATGGCGTTTCGGGCGGTTCGGCTAAAGAGTTCCGGTGGCAGATGAGCAATGCTCAAACGTGGGCTAGTGCTGCGTTAACGGATGACTACACGTGTCTTGATGGGTTTCAAGGGATCGACGGTGAGATTAAGACGGAGGTGAAACAGTGGATGACGAAGGTTGCGAGGGTTACGAGCAACGCGCTTTACATGATCAACCAGCTAGATGAGACACGTGGCAAACCCCATGTCGTACGACCTTGATGTTAATGTGTGCTTCGTTCTAAAATGGACGGTGGTGATTGTGTGTTTTAAG